TGTAGTCTCAGCCACGGTTTCTTCAACTGTAGACTCTTCAGGTGTTGCCTCAACCACAGGTTCCTCGATCGCAACTTCAGCCGCAGACTCCTCGGTCGTGGGTTCTTTCGCTGTAGGCTCTTCAGAAGTTGCTTCAACCACAGGCTCCTCAGTTGTAGGTTGTTCGGATGTAGATTCCTCGGCTGTAGTCTCGGGCGCGGGTTCTTCAGCTGTAGGCTCCTCCACCGCCGGCTCCTCTGCCTTGAGTTCTTCTACTGCAGGCTCTTCAGCAGCTTCCGTCACGGGCTGTTCCGCAGGCTTATCCTCGGCCGGCTCCTCAACAGACTCCTCAGCAGGCTCCTCCTTCTTTTCTTCAGCTTTGACGACCTCTTCAGCAACCCCGTTTTCAAGAGGGGCAGCCGTCGAAACCTCGGCATCCTCGGGAACCCCGTTTTCCACGACCGGGGCCGTAGATTCCACGGTCAGGAGGTTGTTCACTAGGCCGGCATCGTCGGTTTCTAGATATACCGGATCAGCAAGGGATAAATAATCTTCACCTGGGCTTGTTTATCGGCTTACCGTTCGGTATTGTCTTATCGTGGAACCACGTGCCCTCGGGCCCTTCTCGGAACCGAAAGTGATAAGTACCCGCCGGTAGCTCCAACTGGCGAGAAAACACAAATTCGGCGTCGTCTTCCGCCTCGGCCTTGGAAGGCGTCAGCTCGAGAAGCTCCCACTGCGGCTCGGAGAAGGAACCAGCAACGAAGACGGCGGGGGTATCGGTCGGGCGGCGGATGGAAATGGTGACCGGAGCCATATCGTAATTCGTAACGTCGTAAAAATAGGCAATGAAATCGCAGGGAAAGGGGAAAAGGGGAGAGGGGGGAAAAGACAAAAAAAAAAAGAAAACAGTAGCTAGACTTCAGTAGACTAGCAGACAGGTAACGATTCTCTTAACTCTGTCTAAGCTCAAACAGAACAGACAGAATTGAAATAATATACAAACAGGACAGATAATAGAGGGAATTGGTCAGAGTAGCAGAGTGTACAGAAGGTGAGAGAAGAAGGGAGGGGGAGGGGGGGGG